CATGCACACCCACCCACATGCACCTACTCATATACACTCACCCACCCACATGCACCCACACACCTTCTTCATCTGTACCTGCCCACATACTCCCCACTGGTCCTAATATACTCCTACTCAGCCGTGGGTACCCGCCACATATATGCCTACCCGCCTTCCTATGTGCACACTCACTGATGTACAGACACCCGCCCACATACATCACCCACATGCAAGTACACACACTTGCTCACGTACACACTCACATACAAGCCCATCACTTACATGACAGTGTACCCCTAGCTTTATATGCACCCGTCTATATGTAGACCCACCTGTGGCCTCACCTGTGCACACACACCTACCCACATATACACCTGCTCTCCCAGATGCACACATCATACCCCACCCCCGGTGGTCTTGGGAGGCTGAGCCGGGTCCAGGGGGAGCCCGAGGACCCCCTAGATGTGCTGAAACTGACAAGCCAAACTCAGGCCATGGAGTCCGTTTGGATTTCGAGGGCAGCGTGGAAGTGCCCTGTGGGTTTCCTGGACTGTCACTCTGCACAGCGAGCGAGTGGCTGGTGGTTTACAACCTCTGGCCTGTGTCAGCCCCGGGGCCTGGCAGGTCAGAACTCCCCCAGTCCTGGAACTCGGCCTTCATGTTGGGTCCATGTTGGCTTCTCAAAGCCCTGCACGGTGGAAGCAGCCTGGACTCTGCTGCTGCCTCCCGCCCCCCCTCGATCGCTGTGGGAGCAGACTCCTGATCCCTGTGGCTAGAACAGCCCCCCATCGCGGGTAGCTCTGCGGGTGGCCACTTCCATCTGTGGGTCTCCAACTCGCTCACCCCGCCACGTCTCTGGGCCATGTTCCTGCTGGGTGACCGTGGCAAGGTGCTGTGTGTAGCCAGTCCCTGCAGTCCCGCTGGGGTGAGCACAGTAGCTCTGTCAGCAAAGGGACAGGCCCCAGGCGGGCCCAGGGAAGGGAGGGGAGCGCGCACGCGGGGCACTGAGGAAGGCACACTGGTCCTGGCTGTGCGGACAAGGCAAGATGGAGTCTGTGGGCAGCTGGACCGGCAGCCCGGTGCGGCCGGTGCAGAGGCTCTGGTGGGAAGGGCTTGGCAGTGGGCTTAGGCTTACTGTTGGGGAGCCCTCTGGGAGGGGCGGTGTCTCAGGAAGGAAGGCGGGCTCCCCAGCCACACACTGGCCAGCAGGGGCCCCACAGAGCATCTGTTCTCCTGACCATTTGTGCCCCCACCCCCACCCCCGTGTTCGATGCTCACTGGTGGCCTGGGGGAGCTCGGGGACCTCCAGGGGAAGTTGGGGGATCAGGATACTGAGGCTGTTGGTTTCCATTACAGATGAGATGGAGCGGACACCCCCCGTGCGCCCCGAGTGCCTGATCTCAGGGATCCGAACCCCCCCGGCAAGGAGGAACAGCAAGCTGGCCACGCTGGGCAGGATCTTCAAGCCCTGGAAATGGAGGAAGAAGAAAACCGAGAAGCTGAGGCAGACCACATCCGGTGAGCGCACGGGCGGGGCACTGGGGAGGCTTCCCACTCCGGACAGGCAAGCTTACTCACTGCCCGGCTGATGGAGCAGGGTAGGCCGTGAGACACACAGGCCACCTGGGTGGGAGGACTGCTATAGCCCAGCTTGGGTGGGGCTGGTGGCCTGGCTGACCACACCCTGGTCTGCAGCCTCTGCGGGGTCCCTGGCCCTGGGGCACAGCCTGAGAGGCCTCCCCTACCCGGTGCCGGGGGTCCACTCCCTAGAGCAGCGGTTCTCAACCTGTGGGTTGTGACCCCTTTGGGGGTCGAATGACCCTTTCACAGAGGTCACCAGATTTATAACAGTAGCAAAATGACAGTAATGAAGTAGCAATGAAAATACTTTTATGATTGGGGGGTCACCAGCACATGAAGAACTACTAAAGGGTCGTGGCTTGAGGAAGCTTGAGAAGCACTGCCCCAGAGGGTGCAGTGGCTGGTCAGCGTGGGGACCTGGGCCAGTGTGAGGACTGACCCAAGAGCCCCTGGTCAGCTGGCCTGCATCCTGAGGGGTTGGAGTGTTGCTTCCCTCCCTGTCTGCTTGGGGCACAATTCTGAACAGATGGCTCAGGATTGTTGGACACACAGTGCCCCCATACCCGAGGTCTGGCCCCCTGCCCCCAAGTCTCCTGCTGCCCACTCCTCATTACCGTGTGTGGCAGGGTGGGTTTCTGTGTGTCTGGGGTGCAGACTCACCCCGTCTGCACCCATGTCTGTGTGGGGTGCCCCTGGGGGTCGCTGTGGCCATCCCTGACTCCCCCTGTGTCTGTGTGTCCGGCAGCCCTGGAGAAGAAGATGGCTGGCAGGCAGGGTCGAGAGGAGCTCATTAAGAAGGAGCTGCTGGAGATGATGGAGCAGGGTAAGTAGCCCTCTCCCCCTTGCCCATGGGCAGCTCCAGAGCTGGAGAAATCCCCCCACCCAGTGATGGACCCACCTGTCTACCTCTGAGGACTGGTCAGCAAGTGTTGGGCTTCCCTCTAGTGGTCACTGGGAGAACAGCAGCCATCTGTGGGGTCAGCCTCCAGCAGCTCTCAGGGGACATGGGGGGCCCGTGCCTGAAGAGGTCACAGCGCTGGCTCATTTTCTCACTGTCACGCTTTGGTCCTTGGTTTGGGCAAACCCTCGCCGCTGCCGTCACCCGCACGCTAGCTGCCGCGTGGGGAACCTTCAGACACTTGCTCTGTGCTGACAGGCCCCACCCATCTCCCCTACCTTCGCCTTGGCCCTGGAGGCTGGGCTCAGCTGTGCCTAGACTGCCAAGGAGGGATGGAGGCACTGGAGGGGTGTCTGCCCCTCACTCCAGAGTTGCTGGTTGTACAGAGGGTCCCACAAAGCTCTCGTTCCCCGCCCCCCTAGGCGCCCCCTGGCTCCCCCGCCCCTGTCCTTCCCCCACGAGTCTGCTTGTGGTGGGCCCACCGTGGTACCAGTGAGCACTGATTCCGAATCTTGGGTGGGGAGGGGGCTTCACTGGGCCTCACGGCCAGGTCCACCTCCCGTGAGAGCTGGCCAGACCCCAGCTGTCATCTTTAGGGGATCTGGTTTCCCAGCTGGGAGTGCTCTGTTGGTGCAATGGTTGGGCTTTGATCCCCAAGGTCAACAGTTTGAAACCATCAGTCGCTGCCTTTCCACTCCTGTTAACTTTGACCATCTGGAAACCCAGAGGGGCAGCTCTGCCCTGTGCCGGAGGGCCCGGCGAGTGGGCGTCCCCTCCAGGGCAGGAAGTCGGATTAGGCTTGGTGATTCCCCGTGTGAACACTCTGAATCCCGCCCCCTTTCCAGACTTGACATGCGGCAGTGACGTCGTAAGCTGGCTCGAAGTACCCCCACCTGGCGTGGAGGCCGAGCGTGGCCCCGGGTCCTGTGACTCAGCCCCGGGTCCAAGCCGCACAGGCCCAGCTGGCCTGGCTGCCCTCGCCTCTCCCTTAGCACCAGAGTCCTGTCTTTTCAGGTCACTGTTGGCAGGGCCGGCCTCCGGGAACGGTGGCCTTGTGCTTACAACACAAGGGCGCTGCTGCGCGTCTGCGGGGGGTGGGAGTGGGGGGTTCTGTAGCTTTTCACGTCCACAGTCCGTGTGGTCTGGGGAGGCCCCGAGTCAGCGCTGCCCGTGGTGAGCGGGGAGCATGCCCCGAGCCTGTGTGGCCTGGATAATGCTCTGCTCTGCGGGGAGTGTCTGTTGAGGGAGAAACCTACCTCCGCTCTTGTCACTGGGCTGGAAGAAGTGAGTCGCCTGCTTTGGGGGCCCTGGTGATGGAGTAGGGCTGCCCTGGGCTGTCCCCCTCGGCCTTTCTGTGCAGAGCGCTGGCCTCCGGCTGGAAGCTGAGCTGCTGTCCCTGGGCTCCTTGGGGAAGAGAAAAGGACAGTGCCCCTGAGGGGGCCCCATGTCCCGTCGGAAACAGAAGCCGTCTGGTGTACGAGGAAAGATGCAGGCTCGCGCCCTCAGAGGCAAAGTGTCACTTGGGCCCTCTGACACTCTGGATTTTGTAAGGTGGACTTAGAGGCTTCCTGACCAGGGAAGAGGTGGCAGTACCATGGTCTTGGAGCTGTGGCCTCTTCCCTCTGGCAGCCCCAGATCATGAGCCGCCACGAGCCCGCTCACTCACAGGACATCTGTAGACCCAGAATCGGCAGACCTTCCTGTCTCGGGTCACAGGGTGGATGTCTTTCCTGATGGCTGGACCCTGCCGCTGGGGTGCAGATGTGTGCTTGAGACTGGGTGCCGGACTTCAGTGCTGCTAACTCTTGTACGCCTCCTGACCCTCTCCCTCCATGGGGACGCTTCCTGGAGCCCCCCCCC